TGCTCATCAACCAATACCATAAAGATGCAGCTCATATAGGTAAAGAAAAAGTTCTCAGCGACCTCAGACAAAGATACTGGATAATCCGAGCCCGTGCTGCTGTCAGAGCGGCTTTTCGAGCTTGTCAATGGTGCCAAATTCGGAAAGCTACACCCAAACCACCACTTATGGGTCAACTACCACTTTGTCGTTTATCACCCATCAAGCCATTTGCATATACCGGCTTAGACTATTTCGGCCCTATGACTGTCAAAATAGGCCGACGGCAAGAGAAGCGTTACGGGGCTCTTTTTACGTGTCTGACAATTCGTGCCATTCACATCGAAGTGGTTTCGGACCTGTCGACGGACAGCGCCATCATGGCAATACGTCGATTTATTGCCCGACGTGGAACGCCTCTTGAGATCTGGTCTGACAATGCCACTACTTTCAAAGGAGCTGACAACGAACTGACAAGACATATTAAAAATTTAGACTCTGACAGTCTCAAACAATTTTACAGTGTTCGACGCATTGAATGGAAATTCATTTGTCCAAATTCTCCTCACCACGGCGGGTGTTGGGAGAGGATGGTACGTTCGGTGAAGGCGGCACTCGGGGCCTGCTTAAAAGAGCAAGTTACCACGGACCAGATTTTAATGACTTTATTGACGGAGACTGAACATATCGTCAATAGCCGACCACTTACCCACGTACCTCTGGACCACAATGATGACGTACCACTGACACCGAACCATTTCATTTTTGGAGGACAAACTGACTTCACCACACAAACTGTTGATGGGTTTACTGACTCAGACTTACTCCGAAAATCATGGCGCCAATCACAGCGGCTTGCTGACTTAGTATGGAAGCGGTGGCTAAAAGAGTACTTGCCAACTCTTACTAAGCGGGGGAAATGGTTCGGTCAAGTAGAGCCTCTGAAGAATGATGATGTGGTGATCATGTGCGACGACCAGCAACCGAGAAACTACTGGCCCAAAGGTATTGTTACTAAGACATACCCGGGCACTGATGGACAAGTTAGAATAGTTGACGTTAAGACTGTGTCTGGAACTTACAAAAGACCTGTAACCAAACTTTGTCGACTAGACGTTCGTTAACTTTGAATACACTACTTGAATTAGACCTGACCTGATTTGACCTTTCCTACCTTAGACTTTCATTGACGGTTGTGACTAAATCTGACATGATTTAAGCCGACTGGTGACTTGAACATGGACAAACGGAATCTGACGATGATCGATCTGACTGAGTATTGCTTTGCAATACTGGAGGTGGGAATGTTACAGACTCTTTTGATGCAGGCCACTTTTTATAGCTGGCCGGCATACTGAGTGACAGACGGATGACTTACTTTTTAGATATTTATTGTTTTAAAAAAGACGTGGGTGAATAAAGAGAGTCCAATAGATTTTATCAATACAGAGCTTGTTTCAAGAGATAGGTTTTATGGTATATTATTGTAGACCAGTACATTATGCTAGTGTTGCCAGGTGTCCTGATTTTCAGGGGTCCGGGGATTTGTCCCGATTTGTACCTAATCGGGACGCTAAAAATCTAGCATTTTTATTAAAAAAGAAAACTTTTTCATACTATCAAATCCATTTTTGAAATCCCCTAACTAGTACCTGTTAGTATATCATGAGGAACATTAAGATATCAATTATTCATTAAGGTTTTGTTTAAATTACTAATTAATGTTGAATCTAAGCTATATAATTACGGTTAGGTTTTTATTAGTTATTTTATTACATGATTGAAAAATGAGTGTATTGTATTTAGGGTTAATGTTTGTATGTAAGTTTCTTTATTCCCCTATAACTTTGGATATTAATGTAGATCTTTATATTTAATATGGTTGATATATGACAATTAAAAAATATTAATAATAAAAAAAATGTTTTAGCAATTTAGATTGACTAAAGCAATAAGGTTATCAAAATAGTTTTCAAAAGAAATAAAATATTTTTTTTTATAAATCACTACTTTACAAAAACGCGACTGCCTACAACGAGCTTAAAAAAAAAGAAAAAACTGTAATTAAAGAATCTGTAAACTTCTCATTGCAGCCGGGGAACATTTGGATTATAAATGTGATCGGTGATTCTCTTACACCATGCAATATAGGGTAACGCAACCACGTGTTTTGTTTTTTTGTTAAGTGGGAAACAATTTGCTTACAAAATGGACAGCTGTGTTTACATGGGAAGACTTGACCTGTTAAATAACAGTTAAATTAGTATGAAACTTCTGCTAGAATAACAATTTTATTCTAGCAGATTTTATTTAACGAACGCAAACGTAAAAAAACGTAGGTATTATTATAATAACAATGATTTTAAAAATGTTTCATAATATACATTTTAAAAGAAAGACGAACTCAGATCGTAATGTGTTTTTACCATCGTTATTCAATAAACATCGACAAAAGCTTTCTTCAAATATTGGTTATCTGACCAATATTTGAAGATAACCCACCCAATATGGGGATTAAATGAAATACATTGTAAAAAAAACTCAAATCCAAGATGGTCGCCAGTACAAAATGGCGTATCAGGTACATATTTTTTTTCAACCAACCCTATAAAATAAACCAAAATAAAATCCATTTGGTATAGGTACCAAATGAAAATGAGATGGATTTTATTTCAATGGCAAAAAAGTTAATAATAGAATCAAAAGAAAAAAAACTTTTTGAAACAAGCTTTTATTTTTTTATTTCAAAATACATATTTGCGTAAGTATTAAATATTTTTGTTTTTATATCAGACACTTCTTTTTTATAAAAACAAGCGACAGACTTGATTGATTAGTTCACAAATAAATAAATATTTTTTTATTTGTGTACTAGTCAATCAAGTCTGATTATTATTATTTAGAATTCGTTCACAATTTTTTAATGCAATAAGAAAGTCTATGTATTGAGAAGCAACAGTCATAATGTCTATTTCCTTAAATTTCTCCCTTAAAGAGTCCCTAATCCTAAGATTATAAATTGATCGAATTGCTCTTTTGTTTGTTTGTCGGCAGCATTTCCCCACAATAGGATACCGTACGACATTACACTATGAAAGTAACTGAAGTATACTAATCTGGCAGTATCTACGTCAGTTAACCTACGTATCTTCATTACGGCATATGCTGCAGAGCTAAGGCTACTCGACAATCTATCAATATGTGGGCCCCACTGTAGTTTAGAATCTAATGTTATTCCTAAAAATACTGTGGTATCCACAAGGCCCATGTTCTTATCTTTTACATTAACATTTATATCTACTTTTTTAACATTAGGTAGTACAAATTTTAAGCATTTTGTTTTTCCTTCATTAAGGAGAAGATTATTTACATTAAACCAATGTACTACTTTAGCGATAGAATTGTTCACATCGTCATTTAGAGGTAACCCTCTTTTAATTTTAAACAAGAGTGAAGTGTCATCCGCAAACAAAACTATTTCGTGATCATCCCTTACGAAATAAGGCAAGTCATTTATGTAAATCAAAAACAAGAAAGGACCAAGTATTGAGCCCTGCGGAACGCCCATCTTAATTTTCGATCCAGGGGATCTTTTGACATTGATATCAACCCTCTGTACTCTGTCAGTCAAGTATGAGACAATTGTATTTCTTGTATTCTTTTATTCTCACAAGCTATGTTGTGCGAACTACAAATGTGGCAACATTGCGCGTATTGGTATTTTGCAACTTTGGACATCCGATGTCATTGATGTAAGTTTGGCAACGTCGTGCGTGCAGTAGTTTAAATTGTGTAAAAGTAAATAACTTTTTATTTCAAAAATCACGGGATTTTTTCTGCTCTTTAAAATTAATCTCGGGATTTGAGGCATATCCACTTTATTCTTTCGCTGTATGAAATCAGTGTAAGTACATGAATTACTCTAGCTAATTCCGACCACTGCTTATGAGTCTTAAATTTTTATTTTGAATTAATGAATAGCATAGAAAGCTATATTCAAAATGGGAACAGACAATTAATGGATTTATACAGCTGAGTAAGATTTTTGGATCAGCACTCCAATAAATCCGAGCTAAGTAGTTGTTTAAAACTCTTAATGATTTGTCTACTAAGACGGCTACATGTCTATTCCATTATAGATTCTTAATAAATATCACGCCGAGGAACTTAACCTCATTACTAAATGTTAGTGGATTGCCATTATAAATGATACTGGTGAGTAGTTGAAATAAGTTGGCAAACGAGAAAGTATTTAAAAAAAGTAATATCGATATGAGTTCTCGAAAGCAAACTAAATGTCACTAGCAAAGCGAGTTTCAGGTAATGACTCGATCATCGCCATCTTTCATTCGTTTCATTTTCATTTTACATGTAGAAATAAATTTATTCACTTGACATTGGCAGAATTGTGTGAAATGCGCAGATAAGCCATTAATAAAAGAAGAAGAAGAAGGTAATGACTCTGACATTCATAGCAGGGATATTGCCATATTTTGTTGTCAAATTGAATATATTTTAATGATTTAGTAATATTAGTATACCCGTGCATATGAGATTACGGAAAAATAAATCAAGCCAGCTGAGTCTTCATACAATTGAAGCGATATCGCTGCCTATGAGTACGTACATGCAATCCGATGTAGCGGAGCTTTATGACCGATATCGACAGATGGTGCAATCTCTTGAATAAACAAATACTTGCGATTCTCCATACATATTATAAGTGCGATAAAAAGTTTAACATGATTATTGTGTACGATAATAGCCGTACTAGTTAAAAAACTGAACCATAATATGAAAAGTGTCACTTAATTAAAATGATATTGTCGCCCTATTAGAAAGGGACAAATAATCTCTGTACTTGATACCTCACTTGGCACGCTTTTCAGCTAGGAGTAATCTGTCCTGTTATAAGTACTAAGTCCATGACGACTACTAAAACCCTAAGCTCAAACCCTTAAAAACCAACCATCCTGTCAAGTAAAACTATATAATCTGTGGTCTAGTCAGTGATAGCTAATGTCATTCATTCGTTTTCGTACAAAAAGTCTTGATTTGAGTTGCCTTTGTCGTTGTATGTTGCTAGTTTTTTCGAAATCGGTATGGTATTTCGCTAGAGTTCTCAGATTTATTCAGTCTTCACTTATGTAGCAGTGAAAGGGCGACTTCTATCCTTTGAATGCGGTTTTTAAGGTGATGCTAAGATGAGTAAAATGTCGAAAAATAAATTGAACCTCACCCTTCCACCAGGGTCTATAGATACTGCCCCGGCGATTACGCCGTCGAATATGACACCCCAGCTGAAATCTGCAACAGCAACAGAGTAAGTTATATTATGTTGTTACTTAAAATACAATTATAATAAATTATCTTTAGTAGCTGACACATACAACATCGTCAACTTGGACGCTGTTGTATGAAACGGGTGAATCATTTGAAATATTTATGTATTGCACTTTATGCTTCACTCTCAAACAATATAGGTACTTATCATATTTGTATAGGCGTCAAGGTCTGGCTGGCAAGTCTAAGACGAGTATCGAGGCTCTAACAGAGAGGCTTGAGCAGATTGAGATGGATGATACTCAACGCCGAAGAATTGAAGTATTCTTGTGCCAGAAAGAGAAAATTGGAGAGCTCAGTGATGATGACTTTGAAAAACTTGGAGAACTAGGTAATTTTTTGGGATTTGATATGTATAGTATTTGTATTTAATTACATTGATTCGCTTAATCTTGTTAGGGTTTGGATTGATAATCTATTATTAAATATAAAGATAAAGCCTTCCTTTTTATTATTATTATTTTTTAAATTTATATTTTCATCTTTTAAAGTTTTTAGAATTATAATGCCTCTCTCTATTAAAACAATTGTTGCCAGTAACTAGGATAATTATCTTGATAATTACAATCCATGAATTTTGTTTATCTTGTCAGATATTCAGAGGCTGATTTGCAGGCTTGGCTGCCCTAGGTCATGTAGAACTACCTGCTCTTTTTAGCTCTCATAATTTAGGCTCTGTTATCATCTGTATATTTTATGCTATTGTTGGTTGCCTCTAAGATTTGGCTGCTCTAGGCTTAAGCTTATAATAAGCCTTGGGGTCAATTTGGCCCTGATGATATTACCAAAAAGTATTTGAGTATACTGAGAACATTTAAAATCAACATCACCTTCACTTATGAGTTACACCAATACACCAATATTTAAAAAATTGTTGCTCTTAATCAAAGCAGTGTTAATGTAAACTGTGAAATATATAATCTATAATGATATTATAAATAGGAAAGATTTGATAGTTTGTAACTAATAGACTACGAAACTATTCTAAAAAAAATTCATCCTTAGGAAACTACATTATGTGCGGTACACATTGTCTGTCTTTAACCCGAAAATAACAAAGGGATGTAAATGGGGCTGGGAATTAAAACATTACAATACTAACCATGGTTTAATAATTAACATTGTTTACTATACAATAAAGTATTATTATTATTATTATATCTGTGCCATGAGGCATGAAATGAATTGATATATAAACAGCTTTTAGGGGCAATGTGGGCAAAGTTGCTTATCTATAAAAACATTATAACAGTTAATAAATATTTTCTATTGCTTATTTCAGGCCAAGGTAACGGTGGTGTTGTAATGAAGGTGCGTCACAAGTCTACAGGTCTTATTATGGCAAGGAAATTGATACACCTGGAAGTCAAGCCAGCCATAAAAAAACAAATTATCAGAGAGCTCAAAGTTCTTCATGAATGCAATTTTGCTCATATTGTTGGCTTTTATGGAGCCTTTTATAGTGATGGTGAAATATCTATTTGTATGGAATATATGGATGGTGGATCCCTTGACCTAATCTTGAAAAAGGCAGGGAGAATACCAGAATCAATTTTAGGTAAGTATGCAGTACACACTCATTTGATTTTTATATTTTTAATATCCTATTATGAAGATATAAGTACCATTCATATTTTAAATCATAATTGTTTGAAATAAATTTATGTTATAAAAAAAGTATGCTGTTACTTTTTTATAAAATACATTTGTTTCATTATATTAATTTATTAAAAAAACATTGCATCAATCCTACATGATATTTAATTAATTTATTTAAAATAAACATGACTCACAAATTTACTCATTTTCACTAACAAAATGGATTGCTTTTTTCACAATTATGATGCTTCAATACTTATCTCTTCAAATACTTAATGTAAAACTCTACTTTTCAAGAGCTAATTCCAATTAATGTTAAAGGTGAAAATACCTTAACAGTAACAAAAAATATTTCTGAGGTAATAAATAATAATAACCTGAGTCAACCTCAAAGACGATTGTTAATCTTGAAAATATGTAATAATTAAAACCATTTATTTTTAACATTATATTTTTTATAGGCACAATAACCTCAGCAGTATTGAAAGGTCTAAGCTACCTCCGTGACAAGCATGCTATAATGCATCGTGATGTGAAACCATCCAACATTCTAGTGAATAGTAATGGTGAAATAAAGATCTGTGACTTTGGAGTCTCAGGGCAACTAATTGACTCTATGGCAAACTCTTTTGTGGGAACTAGGAGTTATATGTCAGTAAGTTACAAACTAACAGATTACTCTTATGGCTATGGTTTTAATGTTTTCTCACATTTTGGTGAAATATTGCTGTAAATCCACCAATAATGGTGACATACTTCAGCCTCATCAACTAATATAAACGCATCTGAGTAGTATGACATTTCTTGAGGGGTTTCATCTGTGATAAGAGAATTGCCTATTGTTTACAGGTCATTGCTTGTTTTGTATTGAATTGCACTAACAGATTTATTTAAAAACAACGACTAAAGTGTGTCCTTGATTTAAACCATTTTCTGCCTCAAGCAAATTGACAATTACAGAAGATAAAACATCAAATTGTTGACTTATTTTGGGCAGATAATGGTTTAAACATGATACTTAAGTTCAGTCTTCATTTTATAATAAGATGGTAATTGTTGGAAGACTGAATCACACTTATTTTTTAGTTCAATTAAATTCACTGCACACATTTAGTCTGAATTGCTTTAGTATAACTCTAACAACCAGTGGAGATGCAAGATCTAACTTTAATGTGGACAAAGACGTTTCATAAAGTTAAAGTTAAAAAAATAGTCATTATAAGAAATTATAGAAAATCTTCTGTTTAGGGTTCCATACCCAAAGGATAAAACAAATTTCAACTGCTTGTCTGTCACCAGGCAGTTGAAATTTTCACAAACGATGTATTTCTCATTCTACATTAACAATAAATACTAAAAACCGGACTAAAATAAATATTTAAGGGGCTGCCATAAAATGAAAAAATGTACAAAATGTGTATTTATGTAGTAACTTAAAAAATAAATAATTAATATTCATAATGCTTAAAAAATCATTTCGTCCCTGGCAGTCAGATATGGGACTCGCACCCATGACCTTTCGCAATCAGAGCGACTATTCTAACCACTGAGCTACCCAGGACCTAAAATTACTGACGAATTTTTCAAGCACTTATTAAATTAAAATTAAACAAATATATAAGGAAGGGGTTCCCATAAAACAAACGTGTTTTTTGCTCGTTTACGGTATGGAACCCTTCGTGGGCGTGTCTGTCTCGCACGTGGCCGGTTTTATAAATGCTGATTTACAGCAGTGTTACTATACAGTTTGAGGCGTTTGGTAAATTTTACTAGATGGTTTATTAAATGATGGCAATTTGAAATTCGGCAATTTTAGCTTTAACTTTCCAGAGTGGCAATTTGCTAGTGTTGCCAGTGATTTATTATGCCAATATGTAAAAAAATGATTTTCCATATAGCCAGAACGTCTACAAGGTACGCACTACTCAGTGCAGTCTGACATCTGGTCGTTAGGCCTATCACTTGTCGAGATGGCCATCGGTATGTATCCGATTCCGCCTCCTGATGCGAAAACCCTTGCTGCTATATTCGGAGGACAGAATGAAGACCATTCACCTGGCCAGGTATGTTTTCGAATCATTAATCAATTTTTAAACGTAATGATTACTAATAAACAGTTGTGTATGTATTTGTTATATTATATATTATATTACCAATACTTACATGGTTACTACTGTAGCTTTTGTTATTTTGATTTAAATAAGTAATAATAATGTTGATAGCACATGAAGTTTAAGAGATGACAATTTAAATTCTTACCACAATCATATTTTCAACATAAAGTTTGGTTTACAATTTATATTTAAAATAATGATGTATGCGTTCCATACAATATTTAATAGGGATGTTGACTGGCTAATAAAGATATTCTATTTATTTCGTCAATGAAATTTCTATAATAACAAATTGCAAGAATATTATTTTTTTCCTGTATTGAATTTATTTCTATTTAATTTCTTCAATCAAATAATATAAAAATACTAGTGGACGCCCGCGACTTCGTCCGCGTGGAAGTCGGTATCCCGTGGGAGTGAGAAGTTTTCCCAGTAAAAAGTACCCTATGTGTTATTCTGATGTATAACCTATATTGCTGTAAAGTTTTATCCAAATCCGTCCAGTAGTTTTTTCGTGAAAGAGTAACAAACATCCATACATCCATACTTACAAACTTTCGCCTTTATAATATTAATAGGATTCGATACGTATTTTATCGTATTCACCAGCACACTTTTAAGTTATAAATATTGCCTAAAACATTATGCACGCTCAAGTTATAAATATTATGTTTAAATATTAATACCTTTGGTGTGAGAATCATATTTATAGAATCAAAAATAAAACTTCAATTTTAGTTTTTTCGCTCTTCCGAAAAGTCGTATATTGGTGATTACGCTCTCTTAGCCGCAAAGTATCGATTTTAGTTGAAACTTACTGCACTTATGAGATTACGATATTTAATTTTTCTATGAATTTTATTTAAATAGGCTCCTAATTCACCTCGTCCGATGGCTATATTCGAGCTACTAGACTACATAGTAAACGAACCGCCGCCGAAATTACCTTCGGGAATATTCTCAGACGAGTTCAAGGACTTCGTCGATCGCTGCCTGAAAAAGAATCCAGATGAGAGGGCCGATTTGAAGACGTTAATGGTTAGTGTATATTTACCAATAGAGATGCTCCGCATAATGGTTTCATCGAATGACCGAATACTATTCGTTTTAAACTTTACCGAAACGGATATTTGGCCGAATTATTCGGTTTACCATTTCATTGTTTTTCGGCGTAAACAAGTTTAAAACTAAATGTTTATTTAAAGATTTATTGCTTTATTTGATTAGCTTTATTGAATATATTCTTCTTAGAATTTCTTTGACTTAATAATTACTACATAGTATAAAACAAAGTCGCTTTCTCTGTCCCTATGCATGCTTAAATCTTTAGAACTACGCAACGGATTTTGATGCGGTTTTTTCATAGATATGGTGATTCAAAAGGAAGGTTTTTATGTATAATACAAGACCATGCGGGTGAAGTCGTTGGCGGAATATAACATAAATCTTACATAAGAAATTTTGACATTTAGTTCTTTACTGTATCTTGTAGCCAAAAAAATAGAAATGCTCGAAGCGAATATATTCGGCAGCAAAACCGAATAATTCGGCCGAATACAAATGCCGAAGATGCCGAATGCCGTATATGAAACAAATATTCGAATTTTAATTTAAAAAGGTATGAAACCTCCTTTCAGTTATGATTTTTATAGTGATCATGTTTTTTTAGAACCACGAATGGATACGCAAAGCGGATGCCGAGAAGGTGGATATAGCGGGCTGGGTTTGCAAAACTATGGACCTGATGCCCACCACGCCGAATTCTAACGTGTCTCCTTTTTCTTCATAAGCTGCAAGAAGTGCATACTTTCATCAGCGAAAAAGGGTAAATTAGTTTTTCATATCTATATTCAACATTACATTTGGTTACACAAAAAGATCTCCACTTGATTTTATACCTTAATACGGCTACTAGCCGTATGTATGTGTAAAAATAGTGAAAACCTTTTTTGAATCTGTGTATCACGTGACCTAAAACATGCCCCGCCATAGTGTGGCGTCATTTGGCAAAAGATATTGTTGCGTTTGTCAGACCAGTCATATATACCTATTTGTTTGTGGCAGATACCTAGATAGTTTTATTTTTTATCTCAATAATAAGTGTCTATTGTATTGTAAGTAGCAGGCCGTTAAATACTATTCTTTTTATCTAAATGATATAGTCTAAGGAAAAACGGGTTTTTATTTGCTATCGGTTTTTATTTAATTCGGCCGTTTTTGTAATTCGTTGAGTTTTCTTAAAGAAAGATTTGTCATACTTATAAAAAGATAAAATCTATACTAATCTTGTAAAAAGGAAAGATTTGTTTATTTGCATTGAATACACTCGGAAACGAGTCATTTTAAAAATTTACCTATAATATTACATTTACGCGGGTGACGTCGCAGGACAACTTGTATAAATATTACGGCTGTCCCAGTTCAAAACCTAGTAACTGTTTTGGACTAAATTTTACAGGAGAGCAAAAAAACTCTTTTTAGGGTAGCTCTTTTAAACTATTTAACACCGGTTGAGAAATTATTATTTACAAGGAGTAGTTTGAAACTGTTAATTTGATATGTAAATTATTCTGTCTAAGTTTCATTCTACAAATTTTATGAGCTAAAATAATTTTAACAATAAAACGTCTAAGTAAAAATTGACTTCCAAAACCATTTCAAACCTAGTAGAGTTCTTTTACTAGATTTTGATCTGGTTTAACATATTAGCTAAAAATCAGCTTATCCAGATCAAAAGCTAGTAAATTCAAATTTATACAGCCATTTACACATGTATTTGTGTTTCATTAGGCGGTATTCATTTGTTTTTTTTTTCTTCTATTTGTTCTATTTACGTCACCCAGTATTAAATATGGAAAAATTGAAATATCGTGTTATTTACGAGTACGAGTTCCACCATGGTACCAGTGCTGCGGAAAAGGCTCGAAGGGTTAATGATGTGTATGGCGGTTGTATCGCAAAAGAAAACACAGTACGTTTTTGGTTCCAACGTTTTCGTTCTGGAAATTTCGAGCCTCATGGACGGCCGGAGACCCAAGTTTATAATGAAGAATTGAAGGGTATTGTGAAAGTGGACTAGTGCCGGTGTCGTTTATTAGAGTTTTCTCAAATCTGGCCAGACGATTACGGCAGACGTCTATTATCAGCAAGTGCAAACCATGCTGGAAAAACTAGCTGTTAAACAACCGAGGCTGGTCAATCGCTCTACGCCACTGCTACTTCACGATAACGCTAGACCACATGTTGCACAACAGACGGCTACCAAATTAGAAGAGCTTCAATTGGAATGTCTAAGACATCCACCGTACGCCCCGGACCTTGCTCCAAAGATTACCATTTTTTTCGAAATTTGGATAACTTCTTGCAAGGAAAAAAAATCAACTCCTATGGGGCAGTGCAAATCGCCTTCAAAGATTTTATTGATTCCCGTCCGAATGGTTTTTTCAGTAAGGGGATCAATGACCTACCTATGAGATGACAAAAGTGCATAGATAACAATGGTTTATACTTTGATTAAATAAATATAGTATATTAAAAAATATTCGACTTTTTGTTGATGCCATACTAAACACCAATTTCATATGTAAGGACCTAATATATTGTAATGGGGGCAAAACATTATATTTAAAGTTATTAAACGGCGACTTGTGATTTCATCTACGTGGACTCTTCGACACTGACTGAGCTTTCGACTACCGACTATAAGTTGTGAACATCAACTCATAATGTTAATTAAGAGATTGCTCATAATAACTCGGTTCTATATTTCTCTCAGTGTAATTTATATATGCATATTTGTCCTGTTTTATTGAATAAATAAAATTACGTCTTCTTTAGAATGAATTTTTAATTTCCGCTAATATAGCTCCCAATAATAAATGTAATTTGAAGTTATAGAGGTTTAAGTTAAATACTCAAAGTGAGCATAAGTTAGACGACATAAGTTTGGGAACCCCTGATCTAGTCTATGGTTCTATTGCTAATTTAACTTTTTCTTGATGTTCTTTTTGTTTAGTCGAAATATCTTCTGGCACTACAGTACCTTTATGTGTACTTCTCTTAATTTTTACTTCAAAAAATGAACATTCCGCGCACTTATTGTCTTTTGGCATATTAAATGAAATATTAAGTCTTTTGCTTGTCGATAAACTTCTACACTACAGCGAAAATCTTTACATTTACTTCTATAAACTTAGCAAAACTTAGTAACTCAATATTTTAATGTCTTACGAAAACCACAAAATATTGTTTCTATACATTTATTCACTTCATAACCCAGTAACTAGATTTGACAATTTCAAAAACCTAGTATGTTCTAACACATACTAGAATTTTGAAATAGTTAAAGATACATACTAGGTTTTATAATGGTTAAAACTTAACTTTTCATAAATTTAGAAGCACTTACTAGGTTTAGGGTACCCTATAACTTTTGATAGAAGTGAATTTTGATATAGGGTATTTTGGCATCTTGTGGGGACTTATTGGAAAACCACTTTTAACAAAAAAACACAATTTCTACTTTTTGTAGACTTACTAGGTTTTGAAATGGGACAGCCGATTATATATATAATATAATTTGGAAACGAAAATTTTTGGGTACTGTTTTTATAAATTATAATGCTCATTTGTCCTACTTGTACTTCTATTTTTGTCTTAATTGTTAGAAAATTCGTTTATTTAAATAAAATCCAAAGTACGTTATTTGTTTTTTTTATCTATACTTAAGTGGGAAGATTTGGTTGTTTGTTTGTTTGCAACGAATAGTCTCCGAAACTACTGATTTTAAAAATTCTTTCACATACGGGAAGCTACATCATATACCGTGTAGATAGGCCATTGTTTATTCCGAAAAACAGCAAATAAAGGGATGTAAATGAAAGTGGAGGTGTATAAATTGAATTTAAACGTTACTATAGTAACCATTGTTTACTATTCAATTTGTCATTGTAATTATATCCGTGCTATGTTGGTGTCAAGATATGAATCAATATCAGTTGGAAAGTTTTCCATTCGGCCCTTCGGCTCTCTGATGATGTTAGTCCGCCACTGTTTGTACTTCTAAATATTGTAGTACTTCACAATTTGTTTTGTTTTAGGTCAAAACATTTCCCAAGAAAGAGCGGGTGAAACGATCAGTGAGGACACTGGCGCTGAGGAGTAGCGCTGGCTCTGCGCGATGGCAGTTCACAGTATGTCAACTCTAGATACCATTATTATCCAAATAGGCAGGCGGACTGAACGAATCGTAATCTCATCGTTACATTATCGATGGGGCGTGGTATATTAGCATATGCAATTTTTTGACATGGCAATGTCTTAATAAATTTTATGTTTTCCAAGAGAAACTTAACTGTACTTTGATTTTTTTGGATTAAACTGACAGCTCGATTCAACTTTTTTTAATGTTGCAACCCATCGTTTTTTGTTAGTATTGTGCTACTGCTATACTGCTACATGCTTCATTAATCTGTTATGTGATATGACTAGTTAAGTTTTCATCAGACTTCTGAAAGTGATATTTAATGTCTTTGTGTTATAGGTTGTTTTATTTATCTTTCTAATGAAACTTGGAGTACCGCCGATACTAGTGTTTTATTAGAAAAATATACTTTAAAATGTTTCAAACACATAAACTTCATTTCTAGTTTCTCCAGTCATGAAAAAGTTCAAATGTTTCATATTAATTGCTATAATTTTCTAACTATAACGTAAACTAGAAAGTAATGTATGAAATGTAAACTAATCATAATTCGTAGATCACTACCCGTCACTGAGACCACAATACTATATTTTATTTGAGATAAAGTGGCAACCCACTAAATGTCAGTTTAGTCCATCTAATTAAAAATCGGAGCATATATGATGTCACCAAAAAATTGCACTTATAAGTCTTATTTCATCTTTTAAAACTAGAAATTGCACTTATACATCTTATTTTATCTTTGAAAACTAACGAAGAGTTCTAAACATATTCTTTAAAAAATATGTAGTATAATTTATTATCGCACATGTATAATGATATATTAAGACATTTTCGTATCGAGACTGAAACCAGTTTCGTGGTTACCACGTCCCATATAAGTCGATCGACACATCACATTTGTATAAAGCGAATCGGTAATTCTTCGGGATATACCTGTCATCGAACAATGAAAATCTCGAACGATTAAAAAATAATAAAAAATGATAATTTATAGAATTGGCTAAAGTTTAAGATAAATTTCGTAGGATTTTATTCGAAACAAAACGCGTTACGCAAAACTATTCGATGACGATTATGTAACTGGTGCGGTTGTCATATTGATTATACCAAAATTTCCATCTATCATGATTATATAATATTATATGGTAATAATGAAAATTGTAATGAGTGTCATAATTTGTATTAAATGTGACGTAATGTGTTTATATGTTTGAATATTTGACGTTGTACTTTATTGTACTAATCAGTTGTTATGTTAAAAAATGACGCATGGTATATAATATTTGTCAATCGCACGCAGGTAACGTCTCATATACAACTTTCCATCTCATATACAAGATATATGACAATGTGAAAGTAAAAGTAATGTGTAACCGATAACAATGTGTCTGATGATAGATAGGGATATAATATTAAAAAAAAAAACATAGTGCATTCGTGGACGAACTTAACGAGGTTTTATAACGAATAAAAAAGAACAACTAATCGATAAATGGTCAAGTAGAGTTGATTTCACTAGTTGCAAGTCGAAAAAAAATGTTAGTAGTGTTTTGACATATTTTTCTTTGCTGAAAGTGCGTAATTCATGTCAGCTGATACTTGTTATTTGAATGTTAGCGTGGACGACTCGCGTCCTGAGCGTTGGAATACTTGGACGGCTGCGCGTGCGCAGGCGTGGAAGCGTTCCAAAACTCGCAACAAAAAAAAAATGAACTCATTATAATCTGTATAATAGTTCAAATTTTTTAGAACACAAAAAGAGAAAAAAATATTATAATAACAAAAAAAAAAGAATAAAAATAAAATCGTAGATATGTTACTCTATTTTGACGTGATGCACTTTCCCCCATATGATTTGTTGTTTTTATTCGCTTTGTTTTTAGTGATACCCGCGTTTCGTTCATATTGTCCCGAGCACCTAGCGTAGTATCCCACGTGTTTGATGTGTGAATGAGGAGAGATTGGCGTTCGCTTTTTCTATTGTTTTTTCATCCTAGCTTTAGCTAGCTTTTGGACTGAGCGCTTCCAAATATTGCTGTGTTTTCACTGCATAACCTAGCCCATGTTTATATTTAAATGCACAGACAATTGATTTTGCTATTTTTTCCCTTGTAGATGAATACGAGTGAATTCTATTGTCAATGTAATAGCGTTTTGTGAATTGTTTTGCCTTTTTTATTGAGCATTTATTAATTTAACATAATTTTGGACATATTTATGTCAACATTTTAAAGGTGCTTTATGTTATAATTCTGACTAATGTAATAATTCGATATGTTTTCTTAAGACGATAATATTGTTTTTGTATATTAGATTATGTAAAAGGTATGTTATTACTTTTTGTCATAAGATGTTGATAAGGTTTCCTTTAAAAATAAGTTTTGTATGAGATTTTTACGGTGATGTAATTTTTAATAATTTTTAATAGCATTTCCATTTTAAAATATATTTTGTCTGAATTTCGTCAGATATTTTTGATAAAGTAGACCGGTTAAATTCAGTAGTTGATAGATGAATTATTGTAGTAAAATGAGCTGCAGAGAGTACCAAGTGCAATATATCTATCGGTTGAGATTAATCGAAAAATATACTGTAAATAGCACTCTTGGAAATTCTTAACTTTTTTATTGCTGTTTCTTTTTGTCCGCTATTCGTCCTTTTCATTTTCAATAAAAGCGGCTTAATACTTTTTTTTGTGAACTAGTTCTACAAAGAACTACATTGAATTGTTCTACTGAAATAAAATTTGAGTTATTAAAAAAAACTAAATTCTTTTAAATACTCTTTATGTATGTATGTTCTTTATACAAATACTACCGAAAATTATAATTATAAATAAACAATGAGTTTATTTTGTCAAATAAGACACGAACAAATTTGTTATTGTTCTGGAATGAGGAAAAATATTTTTGTATAATTTATTATCAGGTCTTGGTGAAGAAGAGCGTTTTTTCCAAAATAATTTTGTATTTATTATAGAGAGTATTATCATTATAATAGATCTTAATTGTAACGCTTAAATGTCATGAGAGCAGATGTTAAAATGTTACAGAGTGAGTAACTCATACACTCAGTTGCACAAACGTCTATTAAAATTGTCATTAGTGTAAAGCGACATTAATAATACAAATTTTAAAATTTCGAACATTAATTAGAGAGTAAAGTCGTCATTAAATGTTTGCGCAACTAGCTGTATGTCTGTATAAGTGAGACGGTGATAGCGCTATCTCACTTCAATGAGCTCTTTTGCTCTCTTCATCACCCTATATACAGTGTTCAATTCTTGATATTTATGTGTTTAATTTATTTTTATCTTTTATTTTAAAGTATTGAAATTACTTAATCATATTTATTACAAATACTCTTATAATCTATTTAATATTCTCAAAATCCTAAACTCACAAATAACTTCGTTAGGGTCAAAGTATGAATGCGCTCTTAATTTAAATTACCCCTTAAAGTTAAAGTTCATAATATAATGAACCTTATTGAATTAGGTATTAGTACATTTTTCTGCGTGTAGTGCTAAAATTTGACTTTGTGACTGAAATTTTAGTGCAATTAAAACACCAATATAATGTTATCGTCGTTGTTATAGGTCATATAAGTTTTAAATATCACCAATGAGGTCAATTTACATTTAGTGCGCGACTAAATTCCACGTTGTATATTGAATTCTATCTCCACAGCATAAAGAAGAAAGTACTGTATTATTACAATAATATCGACTGCGAAATATGATATAATAATACAATACTATGATCAATCACTAGTTTTGCCAACTTGTTAGGGATTTCCTCACAATTAGCGATCCAAATACAACTAAAAATCATAAAAGATAACTATAAATTTTAACCTATAAATGTCCAAAATGATTTTTCAAAGCTTCATCTTCTTAACAGCACGATCCAATCCTATTTTTTTTTTCAAAGAAATGACTCGAAAGTAAACTTGGTCACAATCTAATAAAGGTTATATTCATACAGAAGAAACATTTCAGTAGTCCCAGTATATGTCAGTGGTTTAATATTTAACTTATCACTAATGGTAATTTATATCACTAAAAAACCACCAGCCTCTAAAAGCAAAACTTCTCCGCAAAAAGAGGTCTTAAACCACAACCTTTTGTATTGAGTTGCAAACTGATATTGCGATGCATATTCTGTGAGTTATTTGTCTACTCATCATCACGTGATATGCGAGTATAAGTGTGAGTGATATGGATTTAATGCGCTGTATTTTATACCTTATATTGATTATAACAAGACTTTCAGTAAATTTTAATTTTACTTTCGATCATCGTCGGATCTAGCAATAAGTAGATCCGCACTGCCCAAAGGAAGTTTTGCTATGCGCCGTATTAGTTAGAATTTAGTGCAACGAAATATTTCGAACAAATTCACTCTGTCAAATTCTTGTGGTCTTTCAAATTAGTACTTTATTCTGTCGAGATAGAGATAAAAATTGTAATGTATATTTTCTAATTCATTTATTCGTTGGCGGTAATATAAATTAACTAATAATGTTTTGGCTATATATTAGTGTTGTATAATTGTGATCATGTCGCATCTGATCTCATAAAGACGGGTACAAAAAATTGTAGTATTGTCAAAATTCTTTGCAATCGGCAGACGTACTCTTGAAACCAATTTTCGGTATAATTATATATATCATGGACATCGCTGCGCTGTCTGACTTTCCAGCATTAAAAATCCATAATTTAAAAGCAGGATTGATGATGAATCAATCTTAGGTATATCGAATATCGATGAAAAGAGTACAGAACCAGAACTGAATTTTGATAGACATTGATTTGATGTTTCAAAACTATTTAAATTATATTTGAATGTTATTTTGGCTATCAAATGTGTTCTTGGCTTATGTATGCGTGTCTTTACATAAGTGTAACTATTATTATCGGTATTGTTTTTATAGTAAAATAGCTTCTTTTTAGGTAGATACTTATGTATAAATAAATGTTAATTAAAAACGATTACTACTTTTATTTTGACCTCTTTTATTTTGATCTTTTTATAGGAAATCCGCTTTGAGAACCATAGAGGTGGTTTCACATCACAATGATACACAGCGTAAAAACTGCAAGAATTTGTAACTCATCACATCACTTAGTATACTAAAGAATACTCTTCTTCCGTCTCACCGGACCGCACGTCCTACAGGAACAGGATACTCTTGAGCAACGCCATCCTGTAGCAAACTTTTGCTTTCATTGTTGTTTTTGTGGCATTGTATCGTTATTATTAAGTTCGATAAATCTTTACGTAAATAATATCAAATTTTCTCACTGATGTGAAGTTAAACTGAGTTAAAAAAAAACATAGTTTTTTTTTGTGGACGGTACCAGTTATGTGCCTTTGAGTCGCATAGTAACGGTTTTCGACGGTCAACTCGAAGCAAACGGGTCAAAATAGTATGTAAGTTGGTTGGTTGGATAAATACTAGTTACTCCATGGATAAATAGTAGGTGCATATCAAAAGCAGGTCATCAGCAGACAATATACTACACTCATGATCGCGTTTATGTTTAACAGATCTATGGTTTAATGTCATTGACGGTTACGAGTACTCTAACGCGATGAAATAGTAACATTAAGAGATAAGAAGTGTTCCTATACTCTTTTTTTACGGGTCTGATTTACCAGAAAAAGTTACATTAGTAGTTTGTATAAATACATCTGTAATTTGAAAAAGTATGTTACACTTGAATGGTTTTTAATTAGTTTACTTCGTCGGCTTAAATTGTCAACTATATAAATTACTTTATGAGTCAAACCAATAAATATACGCAATCTTGTTTGAGAAATTTCAGTTGTCTGTCACCGTTGAGAGTTTTTTTACACCCTAAATACTGGATGACGGCTGTATGTGAGACTCTCGACAACGAGTTGGAAGTGGTATTCTTGAACTCAACTGCGAGTTTCCTGCGATACTCTCATACATGATA